ATGTTGGGAATTCTGCCTTTGACGGTTGCAGCTCTTTAGCGAGCTTGATCATCCCGGACTCAGTGACACACATTGGGAATAGTGCCTTTAAGGATTGCAGTTCTTTGGTGGAGTTGACCATCCCGGACACACTCACCTACCCTTGGGATGAGGCCTTTCCAAATTGTCGAAGGGCTCAAAGAAGCCACCGTCGGCATTGGGGAGGGCCTGGGATTCAGTGAAGATCGAGTGGCTTTCTCTTGGCCAAAGGATGGCTGGTGATAAGGCCAGAGTCACACATGACTTGAAAGTTCCAATGATTCTTCAAGTCATATACTGAACCACTATCTTCAAGTATAGATAGAGTTTGGATGTAGAGTTTGTTCAATCTCTACTCAAATGAATCTTTCAATTCCTGCAATAACCACATCTATAAGTGGGTGAGTCTAGGAGCTGCACGTGGCGTTGGTGCGCAGCAGGGAATTGGGATGAAGAAAAGCACCGGCAGAGTGAATGCAAAACTACAGGGCTAAGAGTCAAAACATGGGGTTTCTTGAAGTCTGTAAGCTAAGTGTGCCGAAGTCATTAGCCAACCCAACATCCGTGTCATTCACGATTCCTATGCGGTTTTGTTGCTTTGTTGCGGGAGATGTTCATTTTGACTGCACGTTTTCTCGCAGAATTGGGAGGTGGCAGCAAGAATCGTGAGGCGGGATATTCTTCTTGGTGAGAAGGATGACATCCAGAATTATATAGTTTAGGGTTCCCAACCTCGTGTTGCATGATGGATTTTGCGAATACACCCAATCCCCTGTAGTTCCATGGTCTTCCCAAAACAGGTCAGAAGGGTGAGAAACCGGGCAACCCAAATGATGGTTTGACATGCGAAGAAGGGTGAAAGGATGGATGAATCCTTGTGAAGACACCTTCAGGGACCACCCAGGCTTTGAGGAATCCGCTTGAAGACAGCCAGGAGCCCTTAGTAGCATTCTTGTTCCTAGTAAGGCCAGGAGCCACCCGAAGCCTGAGGAATCCGCTCGAAGACCCGCACTGAGGCAATCTCTACTTGCAGGCCTCTGGATCCTTTCAAATCGCTTCTTATCCTCCCCAGGTGCCGCGGACCCGCGGGAGACCGCGACCGGAAGCACGGTCGTGGGAAGCGAGACGGAGACGAAGCCGGTCGGCACCCTGGAAGGGTTCTACCAAGGGTCTACCCATGGTTTTTTTCTATCAGAGTTGAGATGACATTTTCCTGATTCGACTGGACACCCATGTGTTTTTAACCTCAGGATTGCCTTTTCCACGATGAACCCTGCTGACCTGCGCTGACGGCCGGTAGCCATTTTCTTCCTTCAGATCGGACTCTTCGTCCATCTACCGCTCCGGAGCGTCGTCGACCGCGCTTCCGGTCTCTTGGGGCTCCCACCGTGGACTCCACACTTTACCCTGGCAGCTGCCATCCACGACCTCATTAACCTGTGAGATTGGTATGATGAGTATGATGACCTCCAAGTTCTCACCGATACCATTCTCGTTCTTTTTTCTCCTTTCGCTGTGCTTGGTCTTCGCTGCCGACGACCCGGAGGGAAGTGCGAAAGCCAAAGTGTTGATGCAAAAGGACCTCACGACGGCGGGAGCCGTGGCATGGAATGAACCAGAGAGGTTCACACCACCTCGGCTTTCAATTGAGCTGAAAGAATCTCAAGCACTTGAAGAGGAGGAAGAAGACTTCAAACACTTCAAGCATAAGGACTTTCAGGAGAAGAGCACTAAGAGCACCTCGAATGGCCCCAACGTCGCTGGCCCCCTTCTTCGTTCAGCTCTCGTAGTGACGTTGCTTCACTTGGCCTGGCTCTTCTGTAGAAAGAGTGAGGTGAAGGCAGAGTTGAAGGAGAAAGATGAGGCTACGGAGAATGATCTGGGGTCTGAGTTCCTGAAGCCTTTGAATTTAGCCACTGCTCCTTTCGAAGTTGATCGCTTTGGGTGCACTGCACTACATGTGGCAGCTGACAAGGCTGACGAGTCTGAAGTGCGGAAGCTGCTGGACACCATGAAGACACAAGACCAGACTTGGAACTCTCAGCTCACCTCAAATGATGCAAACTCCAGCCAATCCCCTTGCTTCAACGCTGAAGTTTCGCATGCTTCTCTAGTCTTGGACTTTGTGAATGCCCGTGATGCTTGGGATGAGACTGCTTTGCACATGGCAGCACGGCGTGGATCTCTTCCCTGCTGTCACCTCCTGCTGGAGGCCAGGGCCGATGTGAATGCCCCCAACGCCTCTGCCCAAACGCCGCTTCAGATCTGTGGCGAGGCAGCAGAAGACTTCTTTAAGAATGAGGAGCAGTTCGAATCCGAATCCCAACGGTTTGGGCCGCACTTTGAGGATTTCGAGGAGCTCTGCCATCACTTCTTAGACCTTGGCGCTACGCTGGGGCCGCTGGGTGAGGATCAGGCTACACAGCCGCGCCTCCCGCGCTTGTGTGCCATGGCCTTGGCAGTGCGGTGCACCTTGGGTGAAAGACAGGAGAGATGAGAAGCGAGCGGACATGATTCAGAATGATTCAGAATGATTCAGAATGACAGAGAATGCTGTTGTTTTCTTCTGAGAGTTGTGTGTAGAATGTGAAGAGCACTTGAGCAGAAGTCCGTGAGCATCCGTCCGCCTGAAGTCGGCCGCTGAAAAGACCGCCCAAGGCAGCTGATGCGACCCTCTGGGTTGCGCGGACTTAAAATTCTCCTGGACATTGAGTCATTTTTAAATAGAACCCCAAATACATAGAAGTTCGTAGATCCTCACTCAAAATGTATTGGTCACTTTTGCTACTTATGCTCTGTCAATTTGGGGAGTCATTTTTGGATGATGAGTTGATGTGGAGGTGAGACGATGAAAACATGTCTTCTGTTTTCGTCCAGGATGAACCGTGTCACGGTTCGTCCAGACATGTGTGATCACATAGGCATTTCAGCATCTAATGATGTTTTTCTCATTGCTTTTCAAAACTTGATTGAACCAAATACCCTTCGTGTCCATTCTTCGTTTTGCGGGAACCTTCGTATCCGTGTCCATCGTTCGTTGGTCCTCTCGTCACCAAGCCGAGTGAGGTTAGCAGTCCGTCCCAAGTACTTGAAGATCTGTGAAAGATCAAATCATGGTGCATGCAAATTGCTTCAGAAAGCAGGCGTTCTCCAGAAAGCACTTACCAGGCGTTCTCCGGGTGTGTGACAGGCCTTCTACAAGAAACACCTGGACGGTGGCTACGATGCGAAGCTGAACAACGGCCGCAAGGTCACAGCCATTTTTTATGCACCTCGGCCGAGGTCCAAGGTGAGGATTCGGTAGATGTGGGAAAGCATTTCATGAGTGGGTTGTGTATGTCTTATGTTTATAGTTCAACCTGGTGTGTTGGTCTCAGAAAAGGGAAAGAACACCCAACTGGCCTTGGTGGTTTTGGACAGGTCGCTGAGTGCTCCATTTGACGGAAAATCCTCAATATCTGGAATGCACTGAGGCCAACAAAGATTGGACACCTAGTGAGGGAGGTCAACTCCGCATCTACAAGAGACGGCCCAATCCATATCAACTGGAGAAGGGTGCCGAGGAGATGAAGGACGACCAGGCCAAAGATGTTTTGCAAAGTCGCAGAAGATTCATAGATGGCTTTGGATGAAGAGCCAAGACCAGATAGGCTCGGCTCGAGAGTCCAAGCATCCACACCCTAAATGACGGTTCATTGATGATTACTTTTTTGTATAGGCCCGCGGCCCTGGGAGTCAAAGACTACACAAAGAATTGTCTTTAGGGTGCCCGAAAGGGACTGTCCTTCACTTCACTATGGAAAAGTATAGTCGAACTGGACTTCCAGGGTAGGCAAACGATTGCAATTACTGCTTGCTGGACGCCGAAAGATTCGGACATTGCCTCATCAATTGGTGCCTCATCAGCCAAATGAATGTGAGTCACGGGTAGATGCTAAAGCGCAAGCTCGGCAGCAAATGTTTGACTCATATGTCTCCAACAGTTATGGATTTGCACAGGTGTTTTCTGAGAGCAGCGAGCTATTCTTGAACCGAAAACGGGGGGGGCCAAGGACCGCCAACCGCGCTTGGGCCGACGGTCAGGTGGAGGACGATGTGGACCCCACCGCGGGTCGCCTGGTGCTCTTTCGAAGCCGAGAGACTTGGCACCGGCGACCGTGGGGCGCGAGTGACGCAGTCGAACATGAGGCTGGATTTGGGCTGTAAAAGCATCGACTCATGGTGCGGAGTGACTGACTTTTAAGACATATCCTATCTTTCCTCCAGTGCCTGGGACTAGCTATTCTAGAATGGCTTGTGTAGAAGTCCAATCTTGTCACCTGGAAGAAACATTTGCTGTTGTTCATAAAAGAATGCTTCTCAAAACTTGTGAGACTTTGAGCAAGCCACGTCATAGCACTTCATAGCATCACAGCACAGCTGAGCAAACATCGCAGTTGTGCTTTTGAGGGAAGCTTTCAAGTTCGCTATCATGAAGGCTTCAAACATATCATATCTTCCACGGCAGACATCGTGGTTGCTGTCGGAATCGACCCCCCCCCTGACTGGTCGCACGCTCCCTTCTTCCGGTCCACCAGAGTCCGGCGCGCTCCGCCTCGCCTTGCCTCGCCAGACTCTCGACTGAGGACATTCCTCACGAAGTGCTGGTGACCCAGCGGAAGCGCTTTGCCGTGTCACTGTGGCTTCCAGGGCCCGCAGGGCCTGGCGACGACGCCGCCTGACGCACTGAACCTGGGCACATGACCCGCGGAGCAAAGACTCCTGAAAGCGCTGGCGGTCCGGAAGTCTCAGCATCAGGTTGAAGCATCAGGTGGCCAGGTCCCGGTGTTTTTTTTGCCATTCCTGAGGAAATCGAACAGGGAAGTTGGCTCCATCGCGACGTGACCACTCCATAAATGTTTGCGTGAACCTTTACTGCAGTTCTCCACTTCACCTGTGAGCCCATCACATTCCTGCCTGTCCTGTCACCCGAAAGTGCGCAGGCGAGATGCTCAAGGGCACCCGGGCGACCTACGGTTTAGAGCCGCGCTGTGTGGAGGCGGTTGGGTGTAGGAAACTGGTGGGAAAGCTGCAGCGTTTGGAGAGAGTCGAAACCCTTTTCATGTATGGAGTGTGTCCAACCCTCCAATGGCTATCCTCAACACCTCCCAACAAACAAGAAACGATTGACTTGGAACTGAATATGATCCCCCTCAAGAATCAATCTAGCTAGGGTTGAACAAGATTTGATTATGCAGTGCCTTCAGCAGCACCATGCGCTCCAACTGCCTTTTTGAAGCCAACTAGTTTTCCCAGACCTGAGTATCCCGGATGAAACCTGGATGAATGTCGCGAGACTTGGGAGGGCTCCTGATCTTACCACAGATCCATTGTCAAGATGTGTTGGAAGTGCTGAACCTCCGACAGACAGAGATCGAAGTAGACAGCTCCCAGTGCGTCAAACAGTTCCGATGCTCCCAACCCAATGGCCTGTCTTTGCTTCCTTTGTTCGCCCTAATCAACGACCAGAAGTTCTGCAAAGACGACCACCTCAACGGCTGGTCAGCGACCGCGAGGTCACCGCCGAGGTGACCAATCCGGAGAACAAGGTTCTGAAGAAGGCAAGTTACGCGAACGTTACGCGGAAGTGCTGGCAGGACTGGCCGGTTGGCAGGTTGGGAGACGACTGGACTGAAACACGCCCTATGTCTTCAATAAAATCATTTATTAACATGTATAGTAATATATATGACTGAAATCGTCGTGAAGGATATAGAAACTGAAGAAGCAAAGGAAGAAATCAAAAACGAAGTGGATGAGCAAGAGGGAACACAGAACGAAGAGGATAAAGTAAAAGCAGAAGAAGAACCAAAAGAAGAAGAGAAACCCAAAGAAGCCCAAGTGATGACCAAAACCGATATGAACAAGTTGAAGCAGAAGAACTATTACACCAGAAACCAACGCAATGAAACGGTCTTCTGCGCTGACTATAGTAAGTATATGCCCAAACACAACTATCGCTACAATCACCTATGCAAACCACTTCAAGAGAAGAAACAGCAAAAAGCGATGGTGAAGACCGCCATTGATGCGGAGCAGTTGAAAGCGGACGTTATGAAACAAAATAAAGGAATAACTACAGAACGAGCACAAGACCGTGAGGGAGAAGTATGCCACAAACAAGGAAGAGAAGAACACCCAAAAGAAGGAGAACATTAAAGGTTTAGCATCAAACATATTATAGACTAATATATATATATATATGTTGATTGATAGACAGAAGATGGAACTGAATAAAAAGGACATCTACGAGAATGTCAGAAGAGACGTTATGAGGAAGCAGACCATATACAGTAGTGAAAAATTATCGGGAAGCACTCCGGTAGATACTAACCTGAAGAAGAAACAAGTATATACTTCCATAGACCACTACTACCACAATGACAACAACAGCGCCAGAGTGCCAGACCACAACTACCAGAAACACCTAAAGAATACTTTGGAATATCACAACCTTGAACACAACTATAAAGTCCTACGAACCAAACAGAGGATTAAGGAGGAGAACGGGATGATGTCAAACGAGATACAGAGATTGAGACAGATAAAGAAAAACCACAGACTGACCGACTACGGGGCAAACGTTGAGGCGATGAGGAACAGGATAAATGAGTATAAACAATGGTTGCGAGGTGGAGAGGATTAATAGTTTAATTTACATTTTCTATTTACTCTCACTCTGGAATGTCCATTTCTCATCAGTTGTTCTCTAAAGTAAGAGGGTGAGGGGTCAATGAGGAGGTTCATCCAAGGACCAGAGAGGCAGTACCCCGAAGTGTGTCCTTTCTTGATTTCCACCGGACCGCTCCGCAGAAGACCTCCAGCTCACCGGACCACACCACACCAGCTCACCGGACCGTGGCGGAGCCGCCAGGCGGGGGTCTTCGGCAAGGTGAACAACGTGGAAGAGGTGACCAGTGTCTTGGCCAACGCCATGGACGGTGCGCCTCTTGGAAAGCAAGATCGGAATTTGGGGACCAGAATCCGGGGATGAACACCACAAGCTGTATACTATTGAATGAACATGACAACACGTATTAAAACACCCCAAAGAAGGGAAGCTAGGGCCTTTTCTTGGCCTCTGCCAAGCGGTGGAGATTTCGGCAGGGTGGAATGGATCCAGGCATGTTCTTATGTTTTTGGTTTTGAGAAAGAAGGCAACAACAACACAGCGTCAAACGGGTGTCAAAACAACCTTTTTCAAGGTCCGACAACGGCCAGTTCACCTTGGTGGAAGAGATTCCGCCGGGCACCAACGACGTCCGGGGATCTCGGTTGACCTGCGGCTGCCCGGTTTTTTGCCGCCGCGAGGGGTGGGCCACTGGTGGACTTTGTGGTCCTGGTGTTCTTTTGCAAACTGCAGTGCTTCGGGGGGGTAGGGGTGGGGGGTAGGGCTGGATTGAACACCTGCGCGGCTTGTTACCCTACGACCAACAACTGCTTCCTCCTGGACCAGAGGTAAGCATGGGTGGCACCCCTTGGTCGGGACCCGAACGTTGGGGTTCACATCGAAGGAGAACGGTTGGCGGCTGCGAACCACGGGGCTTTCTCACCTCTTCGAGCGCTGCGGCGGCCTCCGATCCCTCGACGAGCTCGTCGCTTCGTGGGGGTCGGTGGGGGTCGTCCGTTTGGGGGGGGGGCCGCGAAGACCGAGAGCGGAGCGCGTTCGGCGGGGGTCTTCGGGGACCGCGGCCTCAGATCCAATTCCGCTTCGTGGCGGCGTTGCCCAAGCACCGGGGCCCCGAGACGGGGGGGTGGCGAACGGTGCGGAGGGGCGAGGAGAACGAAGGAGAAGAACAGGGCGAGTCCCGAGCTACATGACCCTTCATTGGTAGGCAAAAAGAAGCAGAAAAGCTCGCTTGATAGACTCCTAACATGCACACACACACAACACTGAGACTGATCTAGAATCTAGATAATGGAGAGATTTTCAGCAGCATTTCTTGGTTAACACATATCCGTTCTGTAGATTTTCTGCAGAGTACAGAGTACAGCGAGCTCTTTGGTCGTTTGCTGTTGTTCTTGACGTGGCACGCACATATACTTTTAATAAATCATTTTCTAGCACGACTTGGCTGGTTTATAGGTTTTGTGACTCAATACCTACAAGCGGATTCCAGGTTGGGAGGACTCGCTTCTGGTGACACTTTCGTGAAGCCGAGCTCCTGTCAATGAACGTTCGCAAACCGGTGCCACGGAAGGAGGGGATTTTCCGGTGCCACTCGTGTCGATATGAGCATCATGTGTGACAGCCAGTTCCAATCACAGCACTCTTCTCACGACGCACAATGAGTGCTCATGTGCGACCGGTCGGTATGAGGGTATGTATTGCCAGCTCATCGCCATTGTATGTCGAATCCAGCTCTGGAGAACAGCGCTCTGACCGCAAGCAATAATCTCATTCATCCATATACATGTAGAACCAATTCTTTCATCGTCTTGTGTGATGGTGACGGATATTTCAGTGCTACAGCCTAGTGGTGAAGTCCTGGTTCTTGAAGTCACACCAGAGATTACTGGCTGGATGCTCAAGCAGCAGATCAAGGAGAGAAAGCCTTGGGACCAGCTCACTCGCAGCACTACTGGTGTGGAGATCATTGTGGGAGACGACCAATTGCTGGCCAATGATGCAAAGGTATTGGACGCTGGAATTACTGAAGATACTGTTGTGAGAGTTGTCTTCAAACCAAATATAGCAATATGCTCCAACAAAGATGCGATCGCCAGTCTTGGTCGCATTGTTGACTCTGAACTGTTACTCGTGGTCGAAATTCCAAATGACGAAACACACATTCGCGCAAACGCTTTCACACGTTGCCACACATTAGTAAAGTTGACCATCCCAGACTCAGTGACCCACATTGGGAATAGTGCCTTTAAGGATTGCAGCTCCTTGCGAAACTTGACCATACCGGATCCCAGACTCAATGACCCACATTGGCACTAGGGCTTTTTGGGTTGCAGCTCCTTGGAAAACTTGGCTATCCCGAAGTCAGTGACCGACATTGGGCTTGGCGCCTTTCAATATTGCACCTCTTTGGTAAACTTGACCATCCCAGACTCAGTGACTCAGATTAGCACTGGTGCTTTTCAGTGGTGCACCTCCTTAGAAAACTTGACCATCCCGAACTCAGTGACGCACATTGGAAATGATGCTTTTGGGGGTTGCATGTCCTTGGTAAGCTTGACCATCCCGGACTCAGTGATGCATATTGGGAATGATGCTTTTTGCAGTTGCAGTTCTTTGGCAAACTTGGCCATTCCAAACTCAGTGACCCACATTGGCGTTGGTGCCTTTGAGCTTTGCAGCTCTTTGACAAACTTGACTATTGGGACCTCAGTGATCCATATTGGGAATGGTGCCTTTGGGAACTGCAGCTCTTTGGCGAACTTGACCATCCCAGACTCGGTGACCCACATCGGAGATCATGCCTTTCAGGATTGCCGCTCTTTGGCGAGCTTGACCATCCCAGACTCAGTGACACACATTGGGGATTGCGCCTTTAAGCATTGCAGTTCTTTGGCGAGCTTGACCATCCCGAACTCGGTGACGCACATTGGGAATGATGCCTTTGAGGGTTGCAGCGTACTTTTGGCGGACTGAGCCACGTGGGGCCAGATCTGAAACTCTGGCCGGAGAGCCGGATCGGCTGCACCACGGGACGGGAGTTCTGTGGAGTAGTGGGACACACCAGACTGGGCGTGGGACCAAAACATATTTGGCCATGTTTAGTATTGCTTCCTATCCGCCGGCAGACCATTTTTTGTTTGCTCGCCAAGATCGAAACAACCTCTTCGTTCCACCCCGCATGCAGCAGGCGCTACAACAACAAGGAACTGCCAGAGCTGGAGTTCTATCAGTTTCCTGGCTGGGCTTGGCAGCGAAGGACACGCATGTTTGTACATACAGTACATGTATAGTATATATAAAAAGTATATATATATAATATTCAGTGGTAACATGTAAAGTTGTCTAAGTTTCTGAACTCCATGTTAGGTCACTGGGTTCCCCTGTGGAGACTTTTAAGCCCAGCAGAGGCGAACATGAGGCCCTAAAGAGTCACCTTCAGTGATTACTGAGGCGTCCTTTCCGGTGCAAAGGTATGTTGGCATATACATGCAACATGCATCTGCATTATTGTTCGACCTCTTGAACGTCTTTCATGATGAACCTGAGGTTACAGGACGCTCTGTAACAAAAAGAGCGTCGCTGCTTTTTTCGGATCTGCCCCCCGTGAGACCCGGTTGCTCACCGCAACGCATGGCCTTCTAGCTTCTTGTTTCTAATAGCTTCTTGTTACTACTAGTAAGGCACCTGTTACTACTAGCGTGGCACTTGTTACTACTGGCTAAGAAGTCCTTTCATTTTGCTGGGCTTGCCCAAGTGAAGGGCAGCACTGCGTGAAACCTGGGAAGGCAGATGGCAGGTCCGTACCGAACTTGGAAGGCGAAGATCCGGGTGGGCCGGGGGGGTGTCAACCTTTATTGGGCGACGGAAGATCTGGATCCCATCGTGAAACAGGAAAATCCGGGCCGACCTGTCCGTTCCTACCCTTTGACTGTCTTTGTTTTGACCTCGCGTGGACAGTGGATCCAAAGAGGGCCAGTCAACCACCGCCCCATCTGCCCTCTCTCGGCCGTGGCGTCTCGCCAGTTCCGAGGTTGAAAGCGACCTGGTATCCGGGTGCGGTGGGGGGGACCCAAGCGGCCAAGGGTCTTTGTGTGACTAGGTACCCCAAGTGGTGAGGTTCTGGGTTCTCTATTTGGATTTTTTTGTTTCTCTTCCCATCTATGTAATTGCAGCTTGTATACTTTGTTCTGATAAAACATGTACATGTAGAATTATATGTAAAGATGAATCGTGCATATGCATTGAACTGTTTTGGAGTTTCGGTTGGGGCCCACCAGTTTTGTAACCAAGATCTGCAGAATTCTTACTCTGCTGCTATGCGATTATGTTATTTCGTGCCTGATAAACGAAAGAAGAAGGCAAGATACCCAAGCCAGAACAAAGGCAAGCAAGCCACACAAGCAGGATCCGGAGGCATACTGTATATACCTGAACACCCGTGGTAAAAACATGCATGAACCTCCACATGAACCCCTCACACCGCTTCGCTCGTCTTGGTGCCCTTTAGGTGCCCTCCGCTCCGCTCCGGACTCGACGCGTGTCGGCTGAGGTGCGCTGGCAGCCCCTGACGGAATGTGATTTGAACCCCACGGCCGATGGATGTGCCCTGGACATCGGAATTTCATGGGCCGTGGATCGATAGGAAGTGTCGCAGCCAGCCACGGGTTTTTCTGAGGAAATGGTGTTGACCCAAAAGGCATGGTCTTTTTTGGGTTTGAACATGTTTGCTCTGATTTTTCTGTGTGGTATTTGGATTGGGTAGCTTAGTTTGGTGTTGAACAATGAGCAGGATTCTTGGCCTACTCAGGCTATGGTTATATGAAGTTATATAGTATGTCATTCCGGGTGCTTGGCATATGTTGGAATCCTGGAAGCCACAGTTGGGTTCTGAAGCCACCAACAAAAAGACTCTTCATAATCAGATGCTGTTCACATGAGAAAGCACCTGCAGAGACATGGCAGAGTCGAAGGAAACCTCGTGCATGGCAGTACTTGGAAAGCTCGTGCGTACTCCGTCGCTCCTTTCCCGACACCAGTCAGTCAGAGACATGGCAAAGTCAAAGGTCTCGAAGGCGATCGGCTTTTGTCTCTGCTTCTGGCAAAGATGCCAAGTTTTCCGCCTCCTTTGGCGGGAAAAGCCTCACTGCGCACCGCAGGTGCCGGAAGAACAGGTCCAAGAAATCACACCGAGCGGAAAGCACGTCTTGTCACCGGAGAAGCTGACATGGCCTCTGAAAACCGATTCAGAACTGCATGGCTGCATGGCCACAGTTTCTTTAGACTATCTATCAGTTCATCAGTGTCTTCAATTCATCAGTGGGTGAGGCTGACTCTTACTTGGGTGCTTCAGCTGCCGTTACGCTTCATCACAGGTGCTGAGCACCTCACGGGCAAAAAAATGACACATCGGGGCTGACGACGAAGATCCTCGTTGGAGCATCACTCGAGCTCATTGGCTACACCCATGGTGTTAGCTTCGGGGGGGGGACCTTGGGTGCATGACGCAAGCCACAGGTTTTTGAGCAGGTTAGTAGGTTCATGTAGAGGTTGACATCCTCAAGCAGGCGCGTGCTGACAGGGTGCCAAGTGGTTAGTTTCCATCGCATCACGGATGGAATGTGAAGCCAACAGCTTTATGAACACACCCTTCATGCATCTTCATGCTAGCCGGGTCCTCAGCCAACAGCTTTATGGATCTGGACTTCGCTCGCTGACCGGTGGAGCGGAGTCCGGTCCGGCTAGACCAGCGGGGGGAGACGACAGGGTTCTTCAGGGTAGCGACAGAGGTTTATACCTGGAGAGGGATGGTCCACTCCCTATGTTGAGCTGCAGATAGGTTACGCAGAAGTCAAGTAGGCAGTGATGGGCTTTCACATGTTCTCACTGTAAAATGCTCCAGGTTGCAAAAGATCCGAGCAGGGGGCAAGATTTGCAGAGAGGATATGGTTCAAACTAGGGGTGTTTTAAGGCGTGAGAAGGCTTGGAGCAGAATTTCAGATGGTGAAACAAATGGCTCATTTTCTGTCAGTGACTACTTTGGCTATGACAAGAAGCCAGGGTATGTTGTAGCCAAGCACCTTAGGGCTCGTTGGATCTTGGGCTTTCTGGAGATACCCACCAACAGTGGAAGTGGATGTTCCCGGAAGACTTTCCTTTCGTTTCACACCCGGGCGTGATGTTTTGCAAGCCATGCTCGGACACGCGAGGCGATGCCATGCCATGAAAGCGAGGGTCGGTCAGATCTGCTGCCCTCTTTCCCCCTCCGGTCGATCCGGACGGTTGTGATGCGAAACGACGGTTGGATGCTCGGCCCCGGTCTCCTTGGAAACTCGGGGGGGAAACAGCACTGTTCAGCCGACTGAGGTGAGGAGGCCGAGCGCTTTTGCAAGGATTGCAAGAACAACCTCTCGGCGGATGGGAAGCCCCTCTTCTCCTGAGGCGTCGGGGGTCGGAGACAGAGATGTACCTAATAGCCTCTTGTTACTACTAGTAAGGCACTTGTTACTAGTAGCGATGCACTTGTTCCTAATAGCTTCTTGTTACTACTAGTAAGGCACCTGTTACTAGTAGCTTTCTCCGTTCCTTTCTCTTCGAGCTGGAAGATTCAAGACATGGTTGCCGGCTTGTTTGAGGCTCGGGATGACCCCGTGACATCGAGCTAGACCAGAAAACCCCCCTACGATCCCACGCCCAACAGGTCCTGCCTCAAAGAAACCCCCCGCATTCTTTCTGCCGAGGCGCCAAGGCAGACCACCGCCCTTTTTCGCGCCCCGGGGGCGAGCAAACGACTCCGAAGATGGCGCCCAAAAGCTTTGTGTTTTGCGGGCATGGCTGCGGGGGGGGCGAGGTACGTAGGTGTTAGGTGTTTCGGAAGGACTTGCTGGTTCTACTTGGTCAGATGAGAGGACAAAGGGTTGGGTTAGAGAGTTGAACACTCACTTTGAGGCTAGAAAAGTGAAAGTGAAGGGAGGGACTGACCAGTTTGTAACAGATGTTGAGAGTGATGATGCACGGTTCTTTGCAGATGGCTGCACGAAATGCACAAGCTGTTGAATTCTGTCTGCGGGTTTGTGTGGCAAACCCTTTTGCAAGAATAGCTTTCTTCAGTCAGCCACGCAAAGACTACCACCATGGCGGTCTGGCTTTCTGTCTCGCTTGGACCACCACCCCTCCACATCCTCGGTCCGTCCACATGACCGTCCGCGTTTTTCGTCGGACGGAAGCCGCTGATGATTTGGATGTGGTTGAACCAACTCTTTCGGCAAAGCTGGAGGCATATGGATGAAGCGAGATTTGTGGCTCAGAGGATCATGAACTGTTCGGCCAGCTCGATTTTTCGTATGTTCGACATATAAAATTACCCTGCTCAGTGAATGACCACATCTGGAGAGGACAAGGTTTTGGTCAGAGAGGCCTTACTTGAAAGATCAATCCCTTCTTTGCAAAGATAGACACGCTCTACTGCAAGGGTGTCGGCCCAAACTTGGCACACAAAGGTGAAGAGCAGCATCCTCCCAGCCCACATGTGTGTCAGAAATTAGGGACGACATCGTTCGCTTTAAGGACCCCATCCTCCCAACTGTTTCAGCCGAAGAACAAAAAGGCAAACAGCGGCTAACATCTGTGGCTTCGGAGGGTGACTTCGCGTTCGACCCTCATCCATGGAGCCATGGCATGGCCAAGGGCTCGCAGGTGGAAAACGTGATGTTGGGGATCGGGGATCTGGGGGGCGAGGGAGGATCACCTGCTTCTGGTCCAGAATTGCTTGGGGACATACTGATTCGTTGTTTCAAGCAGGCAAGGCTTAGGACGAGTCATTCAGCCAGCTGGGGCGAAGTGAAGTGGACGATGGGAACATCGCCGTTGGCTTGCAAACTGGGCCTTAAGTAAAGCTTTATAAGTGAGCATATCCTCACGCACCTGGACATTTTGGGGAACCAGTGCCATGGTGAGTGGGCAGTGCATGAAGAAAACCACCGAGTGCAAGAAGCTCATAACGAGCTGATGAAGCACCGTTTTTGGATTGGTTGAGAGAAATATCTTGCGATCGGTGCGCCACCAAAAGCCACTGGACACGTCGAAGAATCCAGCTTCCTGTGTTGGTGTGAGTAGGACACCCCATGGCCCCTTCGAGCCAAATGGTTGGGCGATGCCCTTTGTTGCTCGTAGCGTCCTTGTTCCTAGTAATAAGGCCAGGAGCCCCGTTCGTAGCGTCCTTGCTCCGTTCGTAGCGATGCCCTTTGTGAGCTCCATTGAGTCCCGTGGCTAGCACTCGTGACTTTGACAGAACCGCTTCTCTGATCCCCACGATCCCCTCAATGATCGAACTTATGATCCACGGGGCTGGGACGATTGTCCCTGCCGAATCATGTGGCGGTTGATGTTGGTGATTCTTCAGTCTCGAGTCTCAACACTACAACTAATTACACCCCCCGATTAGAAAGGCGTCGACTTTCTTTCTGTGGTAATGCGGTAATGGTTGAGCCATAAGGGTGATCAGAACCATAGGAGGTGTGGCAGTTGATGTTGTTCAATCCAGAATCTAGAAGGTTTGATCTCCAGCATAGCTACGATCTCCAGCGTAAGCATGATCTGAGGGTTTTTGATCCATTTTATCCCAGGGGCCGGGTGATTCTACCACTTCGCTTGCTTCTCATCTCTGGAATTTCCGCTTCCGCGGCGAACCCGAACCCCCTGTGTCGTACTGCGTCCTCTGCGCGTCGAGGCTCGCAGTGGCTCCGCCAGGCAGGTTTCGTGAAACGAAAAGAGCATCGATGGTCGATTCGACCTAAGTCGATGGGGACATGAGTGGAAGTTGTTGAGGGTCCAAGTTGGAGCACTTGGAGAACCTCCCCGAAGAAGAGCACATTCAGTGAATAACTAGGAGTGAGTTTTTGGCTAGGACACATGTTCTGACACGGTATGAAATGGTTCCAATTCGTCTTCCAACAAAAGACATCGAAGGGGGAGAAATGGACACTCCGAACTTGGCCAGCGCTCAATGGTCCACCATGGTCCCATCATATCGCGCTGGGCTCCGTGGCGACGACCGTCGTGAGAAGTCGCCAGATCAACATCTTCCCTTCAGCTGTAGGAGTGGTCTTTCCCTACACCTTATGCAGGCTAACTCCCTAACGGTGTCCGCCTTTTACACACTCCCGAGGGCATCTCGTTGGACCGGCCTGTCTTCATAAGGCCCGAACGCCCAAAGTGGCGCCAAGGCGCGGCCCAAAGGCACGGTGCTTCGGCCCATGACGAACACCGCGTGGTGCGACCGACGGTTTTTGAGAAGTGACGACGATGCGAGGTTTTTTCATGTACCTCCAAATCCCTGCGGTTGTGGTGAAATCTTGTCGTTGTTTTGGATGTCAAAGTATTTGGCCTGTGTCATTTGGTTGCGTTGGCGAAGGCTTGGTCGCGGTTTTCGTCCTATCTGTCTAGCCTAGCAGACAGGTCCCACTTCTCTTGAAGGCTCCATCATTTAGAGGGCCCCCGCAGAGTCCCTCGTTTCGATCCTTGGACCCCCAAACTCATCTTCCGGTCACGCTGCACGATCGAACATCGGTTTGAACAAACTCAGCCGATCGAACCATGAAGACACGATCGGTTTCACCCGTTTGCACCATTGGCACCGTTCGGCACCCGTCCTGCACCGCGCACCCTTTCACCCATCCGGTCGCTGAGCTCTCGCTAGAGGCATGGCCACGCGAGTCCAGGCCGGACTGAGCCGTGACGACGGATGGATTCGTCGTTAGCGTCGTTTCAGAACAAGGACCCCCGTAATTGGTACGTAATTGGTTAGCTTAACTATCAGGTAATTGGTTCATTTTCCTCATCTTCTTTTCTTCCCACTGATTTCTCCATTCTGCTCATGGTTTCGTTTCTGCTTGGATCTTTTGGACCTTTCGCCTCAAGCGGAGAAAAGCTCCAGGCGCGCGAGCCGCGCGAGCTGCGAGACGTCCGCGGTGCCTCGGAGCTGCGAGACGTGGTCCGGGTGGAGGTCCAAGGCGACTCAGGGTCATCACATCGCGTCCATTCATGTGATTTTGGGCCGCTGGATGGACTGGATGGAGGTGGTGCCCAACAGGTCGCCTTCATGAGGGCGGTCGCCCAAGGTGACTTTCGGAGCACCTGTTCGTCGCTGCTCATCTTCCCTTCCAATATGACACGTCCCGTTGTCCAACATTTCTTGGACCCTCGCCCCAGTTCAGTGCCTTGTCGGAAACAGGAGCCACACAAGAGTGTCATTGTTTCTCTTCTTTTTCTCCAGTCCTCCCCACCCCGAAGCACCTCTAGGTCAGAGCTAAAACAGACACCCCAAACAGGGGACTCAAACTGCCTAGGGACCTAGGCTTTGACCTGACATATGATGTGCCACTATTTGACTGAGATAGGTGGCATCAACCGCTGTCCCCTGGGCGGATTCCCGGCCTGGAGTTGATGCTTGTGTTGCTGAAACACTACTTTCAGTGTTGGTTCTCGAGTCTTTGTTTTCTCTAGATGGCTGTGAGTCACCTCCACCACCAAACCATGGGAGGTTGACGTCCCGAACATAGAGGAATCTCTTCATTTTCAAGGGTCAGCCAGGCTGACCCAATGTCAAACAAGCACAGCTGGCGACCGGATCTGAGGAGCTGCAACAAGTGCCACAAGCCAAACGAGGCATTGTTACGGTGAACGTGAGCGACGTTCACGTGCGGTTTTCGGTGTCGGTGGTTCTACCACGGTTGAAGCTCCGTATCCGGCACACGTACAGGTAACCCAGACAGTTGGTAAAACCGAGGAGCCAACCGCGTTTTTAAAATCCTTGTCAAAACCGCTCCTTTTTGGGGGACACACCATGTTTTGACATGATATATACTGGCTGGCTTGCATCCTGTTTTATCATGACATATCATAATCATACCATGTTATACCCATAATTATGGTCGGGTCCAAAGAGTCAGATTGAGCTTTCAACTCCTCAGCTGGCTGTTTGTCAAAGACCGACTTCTTCCAATGCTCTACTACACTGAGGAGTAGCTGCGTAGCTTTGACCCAGGAACTGTTCGGGAAGCCGATCTCTCCTTCAAAGGCGGACATCTTTTTTCTTTGGGGAACTCTTCAGTTCCCAAGTCTAAGTCTGCGAGATCGGCACCACATCTGAAGATCCTGCGTGGTGTCTTGAAGATCCCAAGAAACGGCCTTAAGAGTGAACACCCCAGGTGTGAAAGAGACGGGAACCTACCAGTCACATGATGGTGGGGACAATCATATTGCACTCCCCACCGAACTGGTGGACTGCATGAAAGAGGGAGAGAGAGAGAATTCTCTTGCAAGCCGCTGATGAGAAGACTCAAGATCCTTCAGACAAGGTCTCAACCCCTCAAGACTCGACCTCTTCAAGTTCTCAAGAAGAAAACAAACACATGGCTCCAATGCTCTCCACTTCCTCCACTTCCTCCATGTCGGTGAGCTTCGAGCTTTCTCAGAGCACACGTCGCTTCTACGCCGCGACGCCAGGCGAGAGACGGTGATCGAGCTGCAGGACAGCAGACGGGACACTGAGAGATGGCAGGCGGAAAAATGAGGCAGACATAGAGACGGTGAATTTATTCTGAACAAATATGCCGTCAATAGATAGATAGATAGATAGATAGATAGATGTCATAGTCATAGTCTTTGTTAGATTTAAGCACAAACATATTTATATATAGATGGACGTCTCATGTCCCCACATTTCAATCTCCAGAGCCTTTGTTTTTTGTACTTTTTTAACCCAACAGCGAAGCTTTAGGGGTCTTCAGCGATAGTATAGACTTCGGAGCAGCCAATTTTGGAACACGGCTCTTTCAAGTCGGGATTAATTCCAAGGAGGCTCTCGGACAACGATCATTCATCAGGCCTCCACGGCCACGGGCACCCTGAGCTTACTTTAAGAGAACCACCTGTAGGACGGTGTCCAAGCTGGACAGGACCCTGTAGTTGCAGCTCTCTTCTGCAGTTTGCAGCTCTAGACCTCCATGTGCCATAGTTGCCATCCTGGTAGGTGAGATGTTTATTTAGGAAACTCTTGAAGTTGAAGCATGGTCCCAGGCTTCACATGTTCCGAGGCTTTTTGCCTTTGCTCTGCCACAATGCTGGAGCGCATGTGAACATGCTGGCCAGGCCCACTTTTGTTTATCAACAGACTGCAGCTGGTTGAAGGCCTACTCTGCCACTTTGGTGCTTTGACATGTTTCGTTTGGCCCACCTTTGCCAGGACCCGACAGAAGCAACTCAGGAGGCGAGGCTATGTAAAAATCCTTGTGTATGGCAGTGATCCAAGTGGGTGGGAGATCACAGAAAAATGGAATTGCTGTTAAGTCAGTTAATGCACTTTTTGATAGTTTTCTGTTTTCTCTTCCCAGTGGCAGAAGCCTCGCAAGAAAACAAATGGTGTCAACAGAAACCTTACCTTCGCAACTTGACGTAGTTTTTTGTGCTGCGAGAAGAAACGAGGCGCACAATCAAGCCATGTGCCATCAAGGCCTGGCTTCACATCTATATTTGACATACAAGGCTCCGGCATGTGTTTGCCAAGCACCGTGGTAGGGCTGTCCCACATCCCCTCGATTGCCTTGTTGCATCCGTCATTTTCACGGCTCGAGGCCTTGTTTGGAGAAAATCCATTTTTGGGAGTGGAGTGCATGTGGGGTTTCCCAGTGTGTGGAGCAGTGTCTTGGGAGTTGAACAAAAACACCCACACATTTTTTTGGTGCAACGTGAATAGCTCACCTCGGCAGCAGGAACTTCCTATTGAAACTTTCAAACCCACTTGCAGGTAGCCTCCCTCCTTTATGAGGGAAGATACTTTTCAGAGTATTTCAAGAGATTCACATGCACCTTGACATTGCAAGCCTTTTGATTCAGATGCCATGACCCATTCAAACCTGAAGGTTTCTCTGGTCTCCCTGTGCTTGCAGCGCGTGATTTTTCCTTCCAGCATAGGGCGAGTGGCTAAGCTTGTCCACTGACATGTTGTTCTTATATAGTTCATTCCAAGTTCAATCGAAATGCACTCAACGTCCAGCATTCAGTTTAAAGAGGGTAGCTTCATTGAGAGGTGTTGTTCTGTTACTCTTGATGCTTCTGATCGCCTGCGTATCCGCTATCCTAAGCACGGTGTGCCCAATCAGAGCTTTCAGCAACCCATCGTCTGTGCCACAGTGAACACAGTAAGCTTGGAGGGATTGAAGGCAAGAGATGGTGAACACATCTGCAGACCACCCATGACTCATGACCATGACCCATTCTCAATTGGATGCTGACGAACTCTGTGTCAACGGACAACTCCCACCCCCCCCACCTGCCACACCAACCTCCACAAGAGAAGTCTGATTCCATATTCTCTTTTTGGTACCCCATATGCCCTCCACGAACATATCCAACTAAAAACGTCAAACATGCCGACTCGGAGGCCCGGAGGCCCGGAGACGGACGAATTAGCCGGAACCTCCGCACGAGGTCCACACCCGCTTTGGGGTCGGGGTCGGTGCAACAGGCCCGGCGGGGGGGCGGTTTGGGGTTCTTTTTTGGGACAAGACATGCAGTTCATTTGAAAAAGATGCAGGGATTGAGTATTTCTTTGTCTGATGAGCTTGCGCTGCATGATTTCCGTATCCGTTGTGGAGTTATGCTCAAATACAGTGCAGGGACGCGCGGGTTCTTTCTCAAGGAAAATGCGCAGAAGGCAAGGAAGTGGCCTCTTGATCCTTCTTGCAGTGGCATCGTGCATACCAACCACCTTTGTGAGGCCTGCTTCCCTGGCAGACCACGGCTTCGCCACTGCAGGTGGCCGCCGCTTGCTTCTTGGCTCTTGCTTACTGGGATTTGGAGCTGCGCCAGCGCAGGCGCAGAGTGTCTTCAGCAATGGAGACAAGTGGGATGGCTCTTTCCTCGATACCAGCCGGGACTGCAAGGAGAGTGTCGTCTTGGGAACCCCCGAAGGCACTTGCCTGCGGAACAGCAATGCATTGGGTGGCTATGCCACTATCCGTGGGCGGGACACCCCCGGCGGCGACGAGTGGGAAGTGTTTTCTGAGTATGATGGCTCAGAAATCGTCGTACCTTTCAAAGAGAGAGGTGGCCCCAAAGCTGTCGGGAAGTGGTTCAACAACAAGAAAGAGGGAGTCAAAGGCGTGAAATGGGACGATGGCACCGTTTGGGAGAAGATGGATTACAAGATTTTCCCTGCTCCCAATGAGTTTACGGAAGCCCTCGGCAAGGCTCGAAACGAGGCGAAGGCTGCTGAGAAGGGCAAATGATGAAGTGACGAAGTGAAACAAAAAGGGAGTGAATCTAGTGCACCAAAGAAGAGACAGCAAGAGAACAGATAGGGAGCCTGGTGGAAAACTCTCCAAGGGCGAAATGTGTGGCCGACCATCTGTGCGATTGATGGTGACATCACCGCACAGATCATGGCGCCAGACTACGCACAGATCATGGCACGAGCGCTGAGCGGCGGTTTTGTTTCACCACATAAAAAAGAACCATAATTTAGGATAATTTAGGTACAAGAGCACGCAGTCAAACAAGCCACTGGGTGCTCACTTTGAAGAGAACCACTGCGTGATTTGCTCAAAGTCCTTGATCCGCTTTTTTGCTGCTTTCATCATTCTGTCATAGTCTTAGTTTTGAACGAGAAGGATCACTTCCACTATTTGTAATGTCTCCTACAAATTCCGACCAACTCTTTTAAGGAGAGCTTCCACGTCTCGATTTCTATGTCTGTTCAATAAATAGAACTGGCCTGCCATCAAACTTGGTTGGCTGAAAACCACTTCGCGAAAGATGTTCTGTCACCCGCCGGGGCATCCTGATTTGAGGCGTAACTCTACCGCAACCACAATCTACCAGCTTACCACTACCACTTTACACCTGTGCACCACCCAAGATAGCCAGAAGGTACCCCCCCATCCATTGGATGTAACGAACGCTCACAACAAACCTGTTGAACCCCTGCTCCCAAAAGCGCCTCCGTCACTCCGTCTGGTCGACCTCCGTTCCGGCGTGGTTGTCCCCCCGGCCAGGTCCATGGTGTCGCGTCGAGCGCGTCGACCGCGTGTCAAGTGCAGCTGGATGATCCTCCAGGTCTGTCCATCCACCCACCGCGGGGAACCCAGGACCGATCGGGGCGGACCCCTTCGAGCTGATCGTACGGGAGACCGGGAGACCGTGGGGGGGCGCCGCCAGGGGTGGTGGAGTCTGGCGGAGTCTGGCGGTTTTGGTGCTAGTGCTAGGGGGATCAATGTTTTTGGCAACGCGGCTTCGTTCGGATGCGTTTCGCAGGGTCAAACAGAACGTTTGCAGCTTCTTTACTTCATATAAACCGTTGAGTTGCGAATGGTACTCTACCACATTCTTGCACCATCAGCATTCTTCAAAGATATCCACGAGGGAGACGGGGCCATCGACCTGTTCACAACAATGTGTGTATACATAATACACATAATACACATTATATATGTCTTAGTCTATAAACGAATGCATCCTTTTGCTATTTGCTCGTAGGTTTTTGTTGGTCTACAAACCCATTTGAAGGTCACCACTGCCGGGATCTCTCAGCACGCAGAGGTGCACTCCCTTAGCCTGGCAGGCGAGTTGGGACCCCAGGGCGGCTTGTTCCGTTCGTAGCACGGCCAGGAGCCCCTTATATATAGCGTCCGAACGCTCCGTTCGGTTCGCGATGCCAGGAGCCCCTATAATATAGCTTTCTTGTTCATATCTGCTTGATTAAACAACAAAGAACTGTCTGGCTTTTGTTCTTTCACGGTGTCAGCTTCAATATTATGGGATCCGTAACCCCTGTTCAGGTGTTGCCAAGTTGTGTTCGGGTCAACGTGACAGCGTGTGCTCGCAGAACTTGACAGGTCATGTGCCACCTCCGAAGTCCCAGGCAAAACAAGAGACCTCAAAGAATTGCTTCAACAACAGACCTCAGGCGAAGCGAGATCTGAGCTTTGCCTGTAGAAAGATCTCGTGAGATGTGCATGATTGAAGGATGAGGACACTCTCGTGGAGGAGAAGAGTTTGAGCCCCATTGGCTTGGGACCCTCAGTGCAACAGCAGGGGGAGGCGTTTGGACAGCCTCTGACATCATGATAGACTAACTATTTGTTTCGAGAAACTTGCAACCTCAAACTTTGCTTTCCGGTTCCAAGATCGAAACACCGTTCCAGTAGAAAGGGAGCTGCGTTCCCCCCCGTTCGCCCATGTGCCCGAAGTTGCTGTTGCACTCCTGGTGTCCTTCCGGGTTTCACCAAAGCCAGGATGAGAGGACGATGGCCCCAGTCCACACGTTCGAAGCGATGTTCTCGGTCGCGCGGGCTCGCGTGGGCGAGGCGAGGTGAAAGTTGCATGGGATTTGGAAGACCCTGATGCAATCGAGCTGGACACGTGAGTTGGGGTCTGCAGATGTCAGATGGCATTAAGATCGATCCAGTAGAAAGCTTCAAAACCCCCACACACACACACACACACACAGCAAGACACTTATCAAAAGAAATCAGCTGACGAGCGACTGTAGTTGCAGTGATTGTAGATTTGCGATTGCGATGAGACTTTCAGTATTTCAGGTCAGTGGTGAAATGCTTTGTCTTGAAGTCCCGCCGGAGATGACAGGTAAAGAGCTAAAGCGGAAGATCAAAGAAGCACAGCACTGGGACGAGGCTACTCGCAGAACTACCATTGCGACTCTTGTTGTCGGAGACAGGTTGCTGCGCAATCATGAGAAGGTTGTAGATGCGCTAGCAGATTTGGTTGTCAATGTTGTTTTCAGAACCAACACCGTGAGGTGCTCCAGCCGAGGTGCCTTTAGCAGTGAAATTAACCCAGAACATTTGCTGGCCGTTGAAATCCCAAGCCACGACACTAGCATTGCTGAGAGGGCCTTCCAAGGCAGCAAGATGATTGCCAAATTGACCATCCCGGACTCAGTGAGCCACATTGGGGAGAGTGCATTTCAGGATTGCAGCTCTCTGGCGAGCT